TCGTTCGTTCCGGAATCTAGTGTACAAGTCATACCAGTACCGGGCTTCCCGGGTAACATGTTAATTTCCAATGAGAAGGTAAAGACAGAGATCAAATTTCCCAGTCCCCGATTAATTAGAAGTGTCGCGGAAAACTACACATTCATCATAGACGTCTATCTCGGAGGTAACCCGTCGCCTGGGGTGTATATTTACATTATAGATGATATGATCATATATTGGGAAGCCAGGTGTAATAACCAACGTTGTCGTATTACTAAGGTATCGGGAGACAGACCTTTAGCAAGCCTTGATGGGGTTCGTCTCCTTAATGGGAGTAGTGTTGAGACCCTGCTTTTTTACACGCACGTTAATCTAAGTATTATCAGCTTTAAGTACATTAATCGAAGGTTAAATGAAACCCAATTAAATTATCTTTTGCAATATATATTATAGGATGGGACTGTACCCAGGCATAGATGAAGTAGCGAAGACCCTGGAAACCGTAGACGGGTTCCGCTTGAGGCAATTATGTGATGTAAGACGTCAACTAGAACAAGACCGCGATAAGCGGAAAGCACTTTATAAGAAGTACCATAGAGCTTTCAATGCCGTGGACGGGACCGATACTACCCTTATGGCAGCCAGCATGGGCCTAGGGGTGGCAGGTGTTGGGTTGTTAGCTACCATCGTGGCCGCACCTATAGTGATGGGGCTCGAAATAACGGCTGGGGTGACAGGGGTGTTGGGGTTGGGGCTTAAGCTTGTATCCCGCAGACTGCATCGTAAAGCATTGAAACACGATGAAATCAGGGTTCTGGCTGAAGCAAAGCTGAACACGGTGAGTGAGCGTATTTCCACGGCACTCACTGACAGTAAGATCTCGGAGGAGGAGTTTCGTTCAATCCTCTCTGAACTCACAAAATATGACAAAATGAAACAAGAGATTCGATCCAAGTCTCGTAAGTCTGCTATCAGCGAGGACGAGAAAAAAAAGTATATAGAACAGGGGATACAAAAAGCCCGGCAAGCTTTTATAACGAACACCAAAGAGATCATAGGCGATTCACATTAAACTGTTTCATCGAGGCCAACGTGACATAGCGGCACGTGGACATAGATAAAACGAACTACTTGAGGGATGGGCCAGGCAGACAGGAATTATTGATTCCAGACAACGTGTCACGTGATGCGTGGGTGCGCATGATCTACCCGTTAAACTGACCTACTTCAGCTAAGTCCGCGGTAGCTCAGTCGGTTAAGTGGTGCGGCCCATTATGTATAGTCTGCGCAAGCTGTGTATGTGGGTTCGTATCCCGCCGTTGTCTCTGCAACTTTGTGTGATGTGTGAGACACAATTCCCCTTGGGAGGAAGCGCAATACATTTCTTTGGGAATTGTGGCTGCCGGGGACATTTTGCTTGAAATCCCCGACTAAAGTCTTATTTTATGAAATAAAGCTCTGTAGTAGATGGTAATGGTAAGGGTCCAACTAAGGCTTTATCTATTAAATGAAGCCTTAGATTACCCTGGTCCAGGACTGTCATCCTGTCTACTACTCAGTTAGTTATATGGATTTCGACTACAATAAGCAGCAAAGGACCAGAGACAGTTCTGTATATCCGTCAGTTAGTTATATGGATTTCGACTACAATAAGCAGCAAAGGACCAGAGATAGTTCTGTATATCCGTCAGTTAGTTATATGGATTTCGACTACAATAAGCAGCAAAGGATCAGAGACAGTTCTGTATATCCGTCAGTTAGTTATATGGATTTCGACTGCAATAAGCAGCAAAGGACCAGAGACAGTTCTGTATATCCGTGAGTTAGTTATATGGATTTCCACTACAATAAGCAGTAAAGGACCAGAGACAGTTCTGTATATCCGTCAGTTAGTTATATGGATTTCGACTACAATAAGCAGCAAAAGGACCAGAGACAGATCTGTATATCCGTCAGTTAGTTATATGGATTTCCACTACAATAAGCAGCAAAGGACCAGAGACAGTTCTGTATATCCGTCAGTTAGTTATATAGATTTCCACTACAATAAGCAGCAAAGGACCAGAGACAGTTCTCTGTATATCCGTCAGTTAGTTATATGGATTTCGACTACAATAAGCAGCAAAGGACCAGAGACAGATCTGTATATCCGTCAGTTAGTTATATGGATTTCCACTACAATAAGCAGCAAAGGACCAGAGACAGTTCTGTATATCCGTCAGTTAGTTATATAGATTTCCACTACAATAAGCAGCAAAGGACCAGAGACAGTTCTGTATATCCGTCAGTTAGTTATATGGATTTCCACTACAATAAGCAGCAAAGGACCAGAGACAGTTCTGTATATCCGTCAGTTAGTTATATGGATTTCGACTACAATAAGCAGCAAAGGACCAGAGACAGATCTGTATATCCGTCAGTTAGTTATATGGATTTCCACTACAATAAGCAGCAAAGGACCAGAGACAGTTCTGTATATCCGTTAGTTAGTTATATGGATTTCGACTACAATAAGCAGCAAAGGACCAGAGATAGTTCTGTATATCCGTCAGTTAGTTATATGGATTTCGACTACAATAAGCAGCAAAGGACCAGAGACAGTTCTGTATATCCGTCAGTTAGTTATATGGATTTCCACTACAATAAGCAGCAAAGGACCAGAGACAGTTCTGTATATCCGTTAGTTAGTTATATGGATTTCGACTACAATAAGCAGCAAAGGACCAGGGATAGTTCTGTATATCCGTCAGTTAGTTATATGGATTTCGACTACAATAAGCAGCAAAGGATCAGAGACAGTTCTGTATATCCGTCAGTTAGTTATATGGATTTCGACTGCAATAAGCAGCAAAGGACCAGAGACAGATCTGTATATCCGTCAGTTAGTTATATGGATTTCGACTACAATAAGCAGGAAAGGACCAGAGATAGTTCTGTATATCCGTCAGTTAGTTATATGGATTTCGACTACAATAAGCAGCAAAGGACCAGAGACAGTTCTGTATATCCGTCAGTTAGTTATCTGGATTTCCACTACAATAAGCAGCAAAGGACCAGAGACAGTTCTGTATATCCGTGAGTTAGTTATATGGATTTCCACTACAATAAGCAGTAAAGGACCAGAGACAGTTCTGTATATCCGTCAGTTAGTTATATGGATTTCGACTACAATAAGCAGCAAAGGACCAGAGACAGATCTGTATATCCGTCAGTTAGTTATATGGATTTCCACTACAATAAGCAGCAAAGGACCAGAGACAGTTCTGTATATCCGTCAGTTAGTTATATAGATTTCCACTACAATAAGCAGCAAAGGACCAGAGACAGTTCTGTATATCCGTGAGTTAGTTATATGGATTTCCACTACATTAAGCAGCAAAGGACCAGAGACAGTTCTGTATATCCGTTAGTTAGTTATATGGATTTCGACTACAATAAGCAGCAAAGGACCAGAGACAGATCTGTATATCCGTCAGTTAGTTATATGGATTTCCACTACAATAAGCAGCAAAGGACCAGAGACAGTTCTGTATATCCGTCAGTTAGTTATATGGATTTCGACTACAATAAGCAGCAAAGGACCAGAGATAGTTCTGTATATCCGTCAGTTAGTTATATGGATTTCGACTACAATAAGCAGCAAAGGACCAGAGACAGTTCTGTATATCCGTCAGTTAGTTATATGGATTTCGACTACAATAAGCAGCAAAGGACCAGAGACAGTTCTGTATATCCGTCAGTTAGTTATATGGATTTCCACTACAATAAGCAGCAAAGGACCAGAGACAGTTCTGTATATCCGTCAGTTAGTTATATAGATTTCCACTACAATAAGCAGCAAAGGACCAGAGTCAGTTCTGTATATCCGTCAGTTAGTTATATGGATTTCCACTACAATAAGCAGCAAAGAACCAGAGACAGTTCTGTATATCCGTCAGTTAGTTATAAGCAGCTTTTAGCGTATTTGTGTCTTGCTATGACTATATGTGCCATGATATTCTTGAAACGCCTGATAATATAACTGAACGACCAAATGATGAAATAGCTGAGACATCTGGTGACATAACTGAATATAATAGACATGGGGCGGTAGGGAAGGCACGGAGACTTACAGTCCTTTTATCACCTCCATGGACCCAAGCCGGATTACACACACCTTGATTTAAGTGAGACATGTCAGAATATAACTGAGTCACGCCGTGATATAACTTAGGCATACGGTGATATAACTGTGACATACTGTCATATAACGGTGACATATTGGGATATAACTGTGACATACTGTGATATAACTAAGAGACACTGTGGTAACTAAAATATAATATAAGAATACTGATACAACTGACGCAAGCTGTGATGCAACTGACACAAACCCTGACACAAGCTGTGATGTAACTGACACAAACCTTGATGTAACTGACACAAGTCGTGATGTAACTGACACAAACCTTGATGTAACTGACACAAGTCGTGATGTAACTGACGCAAACATTGATGTAACTGACACAATTCGTGATGTAACTGACACAAGCCATGATACAACTGACACAAACTGTGATGTAACTGACATAAGCCGTGATACAACTGCCACTAGCCATAAAATAACTGAGATATGCTATGATACAACTGACACAAGCCGTGATATGACTGAGATATGCTGTGATATAACTGACACTAGCCGTGATATGACTGAGATATGCTGTGATATAATTGACACCAGCCGTGATGTAGCTAAGATATGCTGTGATACAACTGACACTAGCCGTGATGTAACTAAGTTATGCTGTGATACAACTGACACAAGCCGTGATATAAATGAGATATGCCGTAAAACAACTGACACAAGCCGTGATACAACAGATATGCCGTAAAACAACTGACACAAGCCGTGATACAACTGACACAAGCCGGTATGTATGGGCCAGTTTTGCACTTACCCGATGACGTGGAGGCTTTGTCTGTGGAATTGTACAGCTAAATAACATTCAGTCATTCATTGTGACACGTCGTGTACCTACCACATTTGGGATACGCACAGATAATGATGTCATCGTCCTTCAGTTCGGCGTCTTTGATACTGTTTATTCTGTCTTCAGGACGAGCTCCCTTCAGCATTTCCGGAGGTGGCACAAACAAATACACCCCATCTTGTTTTGTAGCAGTGGAATCCGTGTCCTTTCGAGTTTCTCAGATCGTCGAGATCCCTGGAAAACGCCGTTCATGACCATCACTAGACTAACGCTTAGTCCCTGAATATATATAATTTTGATAGTAACACATATACCCATTTAAATTGAAAAGGAGCCCCAGTGAGTTGGGAGATGAGCCTGAGAAGATCTAGACTTGCTTCATTCAGGGCTTTAGCATTGCAGGGAGGGCTGGGCAGTAGTGAACATTATATGGTTCAGAGACTGTGAGACAGACTAGATCACCACATGTATGTGTTGTGCTAGATAACACCCTTATTCGTATCTAACTTTTCCATCCACCCGTCAGTTCTTACCTGTCAGCCTGTCTGACTCTCAAAAGGTTCTTCGTGATTTGGGAAAGAGACAATGTCAGATCTCAAAAGTGGAAGAATCTTAATATCGAGGCTCTCGATATTTGAAATGATATCTAGAGTAGAGGACAGACAAGGCAGGAAGCAATGTGTGTCATATCGTTATAGTGTCTACTATGTTGCTGTTGCATGTTGTTTGCGGATATTTCTCAAATTGACAAGATAGGTCCACCTGCGGGTCAACAACATTTTATTGTGAACTCTCTACTGGGAGCTTAGTGCTAAGGCCCAGTTACTAACTCGAACAGAACTAACGATGTTGCTTCTGTTCCTAACAAGGTAATATCGCAAGGCCATAAGGCACCTCGTCAACAAATCATGTGTCTCTTGGGCACTGGTCATTTTACTCTTGACGGCACAAATATGCAGTCTTGTGATCTCGTTACATACTCCCCGTGAGGTATTTGCCAAGAGGGGAGCCTACGGGTGTTATGACGCAACCGGGAGTTCGCCCGAAGCACACCGCATGTCATACAGACCCTGAAACAAATGTTTCTAAGAAAGCCCATGCAAGTCTAGGATATGTGGCAAGTTAGGTTTCCACAGTTTCTGAAAATGAAGAAAGTCTCTGGGCTCCTTTGCATTATATTTTATGACTATAATTTAGGAACTGTTTTTTTCTGTGAAATATGTCAATTTCAGAGACTAGATGTAAGTCTAACTGCACGTGGCACGCTTCATAGTGCATGTGATATACAGTATATTGCACTTGATGTACTGTATGCTGCATGTGATATACAGTATATTGAACTTGATATATTGTATACTGCATTTGATATACAGTATACTGAACTTGATATTGTATACTGCATGTGATATACAATATATTGCTCATGATGTACTGCATACTGCATGTGATATGCAGTATATTGCACTTGATATACTGTATACTGCATGTGATATACAGTATATTGCACTTGATGAACTGTATACTGCATGTGATATACAGTATATTGCACTTGATGTACTGTATACTGCATGTGATATACAGTATATTAAGTGCAATATACTGTATATCGTATGCAGTATACAATATATCAAGTGGAGTATACTGCAGATACCTCATGAACCCAACGCTCGAGGTGTCAAGCTAACATACCCACGTAGAAAGGAATCCTTACACTGCTGACAATAGAACACTCTCAGTCATAAACACACGTGTATTGGAGGAAGAGTGCTCAGATAGATTCCATATATACATAATCTTCCGAAAATACTCACACTACAAACTTGCCATCACTTTGACCCGAGGACATGTTGAATGCCAAATGTGTGGCTCGGTTCAGCATATATATTACTTATGGGTCCAGTGAGGCAGCCAGCTGATAGGCGGCCTGCTTTTATCAGCCAAACACAATGTTGGTACTCTAGATAACCCGCGCATAAAAAAAAACCCAAACCAATGACCTCTGTATTATGTGCGCCATGTTTATGAAGAAATGCTTTATTCAGAAATAGAGAACTGAATTAACATTAAGTATGTCCTTTCTTAGCGTCTATGCAGCAAATTTCCCCTGTCTGTGTCATGCATGAGATCTATTCTCATGGTGAAAGTGAACTCTTGTCACAGTGGTGTGAATAGGTCCATATTGCTGAAAGTATACAAAGGGGTGGAATAACGGAGAAACCGTATGACAGACTTTGAAGGATGGGCAAATAGTTAATGGAATCGTTAAGGGTTAAGTGTCTACATCTGAAATAAGAGGATCAGCCACTGAACAATCAACCGTTTGCCTCAAGGACAAAACAAGCATTATGTTCAGGCGCGTAGCAAGCCAATGTTTTCGTGTAAGCCCGATAGGTTGGAAAGGTGTATATTTAGAGAGTATTGAGGCCTTGCCGAACCTTTATAGCAACAATCATGTGTAAGCAAGGTTTTTGTTTTATAATGGTAGGTACGCCCCGGGTGTTACACTAAACAACTAATGACACCAATCTATTTTTATAGTGTCATCCTCAGAGAAATACCAGTCTCGATTGTCTGACCAATAATATTCTATGTACACTGTTATTTTGTCAGCATAATGATCCTAAGCATAATGATTTTACTTCTCTGTCCAATCTCCTTGTAAAACAGAATGAGTGATTAGGTATGTAAAATATTCCACCAATATATAGCCGTGTACACCTTAGTGCTATATGTTCCAAATTAATTACTTCGAAGAATATGTTATTGTACAACTGGGTTTGTGCTTTTGGGAGTCAATACACTTAAGTTCAGTCTACTTGCATCCTGGTAGAGTTCAGTTCTTGATTCACATCCGAGACTGATCACATTGTTAGAAGCGTTTCTTGGAGTTACAGGTTCTTGAAGGCCGGGTGTTTGAGCGACGTCTAGCCTATCTACTGACCCAGTGAAGCAGGATGCCTATCCCAAGGCAGCAGTCTTCATGCCTACTTCCACATCTGCCCCAAACCATCTTTGCATATAGCTGGAACACTGATGAGTGCGGCGTTCAACAACCAACCAGCCAACCAACCAACCAACCAACCAAAAACCAACCAACCATCCAACCAACCATCCAATCAACCAAGCAACCCATCTTTATTGATGGCTTTTGATTTTAACTCTCTTTTGCCTGTACTGCATCATTGTACGTTCCTCAAATTATGTTCCAATTCCATAATGTTATCAAGATCTGAAAAACATCATGCATCTGTTACAGGCAAAGTGTGTAGGAATGATGACTTACTGCAGTGATTTGTCAACTCCTTCCATGTTGAATATCCAGTGTATATTTGCTGAAGCTGGAGCAGTGAACAGACTAGTCCTCTTATAGGAACTTGCGAGGCCGGGAGAAATTCGGGTCTCATGAAATGCTGACTAATTCAAGTCGAGACACGTACAATAATGGTCACGTGACAATGAAGGGCACAGTTTAAGAGTTGTTCTGTTGAACATTATCCGCTTGTATGACACATATATCAGCGAACACACACACTCTGTCAGCATTGGCATACGTTAAACTATTTTCTGACCTTTAAAATTTGCTGATATGCGAGACGGTGTGCTGAAGGGTGTGCAATCAGTTGTCCCTTAGTCTGTCTCACAGTCCCTGAACCACATTATTTTCCCACTGCCTAGCCCTTCCTGCAATGCTAAATCCCTATATGAAGCAAGTCCAGATTTGCGCAAGTTCGAATCTCAGTACTTTTGCATATGTCCTTAGTCCACTTGGGTAGCCAAGTGGTTGAAGCAATCGCCCGTTACCACCCGTTTTCGAATCCCCACATCGTTACAATGTGTGAAGTCCATTTCTGGCGTCCCCGCCGTAATATTGTTTACAGAGGCGTAAAAGCATACCCATTCACTGTAAATATCTTCACTTGTTAGGTATGTATTTGCAGTCAATTGTTATCACCAAGAAGAAGGACATACTTAGTTTATCACCTGTAAATAGAAGCGCGAAGTTGTTGTAGCACGGCTTGTATCAGCAGCGCGATCGCTGTTATAGATTAGCATCGTAAAAGTATTGTCCTCCTGAGAGGGTACGTAAGTCCCATAACTGTCAAAGTATATTTAAACGTACCAGAGTTTTTAAAACGTACTATTTTGGTTATCTTAAAGTATGGCTACATTTTCCTACAATCGCCAACTTGGGATTCATGCATGCAGCTAAGGCACCGTAAGTCCCCATGGTCCCCAGTATGGTGACCTATCTTCAGTTGTTGACGTATAGCCTGTTTTTATATTCTATTGTAATAATGGTAAGAAAGTTTTAGATGTACAACCAGGTTTTATGTTCATATCTGTGATCGTCTAGTGGGTTTTACTCTCCTTTGTTGGCATATTTTCATAATTCCACCCTGAATTTATCATGGATTTAGAACTTGTTTTAGTCACGATGTGGCTGAACTATTGCCAATGTGACTTTAAATTTTAACTCACCCACTCACTCACTCACTAGACTAGCTAGAGATAAGCATTACACAACTAGTTAGCTTTTTCCCGCCGTTTATATGTGGATTATTTTCGGAATAAATGACGGGGACCCAAAACACTCAATTCCCTATACCACCTTACCAAATTTTAAGGCCCGACGTACCACTTGTGTAATTAGCAACTAATTTAACACTAGGGTTTGATATCAGGTAGCAAGGCACAAAAACACTCTCAATAATATATGCCCGATATATTCCACACGTCTTGGACTTAATGACGGACAGAGAAACATCCCAATTGCCATTTCGTCATGTTCGGATTATGTCTGAATTATTATGTGACTATCGAACCTGTACATTCATAACATTCACAGAATGTACGTGGTTTTACATTCAGACGACAAATAAAAGGGCATGTTTTGTACTAGTTTGTAATTAATGTGTTATATACAGTGGCTACCACTTAGTCCCGACACACCCTTTTCACTATTTGTTTGGTCTCATGTCCCAGATTTTGACTTGAAATTGAATATATTGCACGATTTTCACTAGTTTGGCTTTGTGCCCAAGCATGAATCGCTCCTCATGTTTAGACGACCTAGATTTACACATAATCCTACAGCACCGTACACATTAAAATAGTACAAACATTACATGTGCTGTCTTATCACCTGTTTACCTGTCCACCTCGTGACACATGAAAGAAGTATGTCATGTTGCATCAGCCTATACACACCTTTATATGCCAGTCGTGTAACTCGTGGGCGCCACTGGTAAAGGCTGGACGTGTTTGCGTTCACTCGGCGAGCACCTGGTGTCAATGGTGCCTTGTAACAATCCATTCAATGAATCAGATTGCCTCTGCCCCAAATCACCGCTATTATTTACTTCTCAGTCAAACCGAAAAATACAGGCTAGAATTGATCTTCAGTAACCCATGCTTGTCCTAAGAGGCGACTAACGGGTGGTAAGGCTCACTGACCTGGTTGACACATGTCATCGTATCCCAATTGCGTAGATCCAAGCTCATGATGTTTTAGCCAAAAGAAACATATGTCCGGGTTATTATCTGAATTGACATTCTGTGATGTTATTTTTTCATATTCACTGTTGACGGTGTTAAATCAATTAATTCAACAATACGTGACTTCTAGTCTGTCAATACCTGTTTTATAGACCTGAGAAAAGCAATATTGATTTCTTTGGGGCCATACAAGAAGTACTGACCTGAGTTTTCTAACTGTATTAGATATCTGACATATTATAAGAAACAGACACAGACACAGACACAGACACACACACACACACACACACACACACACACACACACACACACACACACACACAGACACAGATATATATCTATATATGTATGAAGGAATATGACATATCATGAATCATACATCACATACAGTGAACCACTGTAAAAGAAACAAAGACTGAATAGTTATAGTGCAAGAAAATGTATTGCTGATAAAAGTAAGTTACAGTAATATATTGAAGATAATACGAAAATCTTGGCATCAAGTGGTCGCTGTAAGAATGTTATCAAATATTCACAAATTGGGAGAATTTACATTTTTAAATACATCCGCATATGTGATTGAGTGAGAAACAGTAATGAACATGATAGTTTAAGAAATGTAAATTTCTTTCCTTCGGACTACTTGAAGGAATGAAAGGAGAGTACTTTACACTATCATTACAAAAATATCAGTTTGAAATACACATGTTCACAAATATGGAGAATTTACATTTTTAAATACATCCGCATATGTGACTGAGTGAGAAACAGTGATGGAAATGATAGTTTAAGAAGTGTACATTTCTTTCCTTCGGACTACTTGAGTGAATGGAAGGAGAGTACTTTACAGTGTCATTACAAAAATATCAGTTTGAAATACACATGTGAATAACGGAAGCCATCACTTGCTCTATGACGCAGAATCTGAATTTGAATGTTAATATGCAACATTTCTTTTGCTAAAAACACAAGCCTTAAAGAATTCAAAATGTTTCGGTTTATGGATACTACTTCTGGTTCTACATACATAGTATGGTTACCGCCTGACTACATCAAGCCTACCTCTAGAATTCAGCACCGAATACTTAAGGAACGCTGGACAACGTCCATGACATAATTTGTGCAATTGTGTTGCAAAACACGTTGGCGAAACAATGTCTTATAACTAGTGTGTATAAGCTGATAAACATAGTCCATCACCTCTACATGCATGGTCAGAGAATTAAGTCCAGTGATTTTGAGACTTTTCAATATTTGGAAACTAAATGTAGCGTGTGATGGCGCGTGTTATATCAGTTTGTGAAAGTGCTAATTTCGTTTTAAACATATTTTTTCAACCGAGATAAATCAGCGTGATGTGTGAATAAAAGAGTGAGTGAGTGAGTATGGTTTTACGCCGCTTTTGGCAATACTGTAGCACTATCACGGCGGGGCACACCAGAAATGGGTTTCTTACACTGTATCCATGTGGGAAATCGAACTCGGGTCTTATGCAGACAATATGTCAATGCCCAGCATTGTATTCATGCACATAATCAGGACATGATAAATGTAGCTAAAATAGATAGGAATTCAATTAGGTGCCATATGTTTTGGCGTCATTTGTTGTGAAGATGGCCATTCCCTAAAGTTGTACGATCAGATGCGATGTATTGATCTTCGTAAATACGCTCTGACAGTCATATCTCGGTGCACATGTAAACAATGCATTTGACTGGGCCTCACACTGGTGAATAAGTAAAGTCAAACCCAGAATCCTTCATCTTCTTGTTCCATATTACATCAAATCTCTCACTTTGTGCCACAGTAAACCAATTCTTCCAGTCCCCGATTTCACCTGAAATAGAAAACGAATGTATCAAAGTCAGCGTACTTTAAACAGGTGTACGTTTGTCAACGGATTGTATTGTGGAGAAGGTATTATTCCCACAGTACTTTAATCAAACTTTAATTTTGGGTAGGTGAGTGGGTGAGTGGATGAGTGAGTGCTTAATTGAAGTGGGATGTGTTATACCTTTCCTATAGAACGTTCCTCCTGTGCCATCTGCCCACATCTTCATGGGAAGTCCACTTTTCATTTCCTGGTCAACTTTTTTCATCTTCTTAAAGGAGCAAGCATCTCCAACCTCCTCACAGAACTTGCCTGTAGATGCAAGGCCAAGGAATCTAGCGACGTCTTTGATAGACCTGAGAGGATCCTGAATTTAATCGTGTAAGAGGATGTTGAAATGATTATATATTTCTTGTCTTTTGAGCTATAGCATATCCACACACGATCCTTGTTTTATGAATCACGAACCATTGAGAGTGAATGAATTGTTTTAGCGATTCATTGATTGAATGATTGCACTATCACAAGGGATAAATATGTTAATGTAAAACCGGTTGAAGATCATTTTAATAATGTTCACTGTCATTTAAGAACTGATTTAAAAAAATAAATAATTTGATTAATAAATTCTGTATTATATGTTATGTAGAAAGATATAGTTTTACATTGGTATAGTTTAAATTAGCAACTGAGATTGTTTGTGGCCGTATCCACAAAGGGTGTTGAAGTACTGTCAAATTATTGTCCCCCTGAGAGGATACGTTAGTCCCGAAAACATTCCGTAAATTTAAATTTGCCAGATACTTTACAATGTAGCATTTTTGTAATTTTCAAACCTGACAACGGCTGAAGGGATGATGTAAATCCAGCTAGGGTTCATGCAGGTAGCAGAGGTACTGAAAGACCCCATGGTCCCTAGTATGGAGATATACCTTCAGTTGTTGGCGATCTATAGCCTGTTTCTATATTGTATCGTCTTGTATAGTTAAACTGTTTTAGATTTAATTACTACTTTTAAATTTTTATGTCTTTGACAGTCTAGTAGCTGTACTGTCCTTCGTTGACAGGTGTTTATAATTTACTTGTAATTATCATAAATATATAAGTTGATTTATTCACGGTATGACTGAAATATTGCTTATGTGACTTAAAATCTTAACTTTCCACAAACTTAGGTAGCTGAAGACCAGTCGTATAAGAGGGTTTTGAAATGGTTATAAATTTCTTGTCTTTTGAGCTATAGCATATCTGCACACGATCCTTGTCTTGTGAAGCACAAACTGGTTGGAGTGAATGGATTTTTTTAGCGATTGATTGATTGACTGATTGCACAAACTAAGGAAGCTGAAGACCAATTCTTACCCTGATCTTCACGGGTTGTCATTCAAGCGTCCGTTGTGTTAAGGGGCAATGGCATTTTACAACATGGTGCAACTAGCTTGCCTTACAATTATGCTTCTGTGTATGTTCAAGAACGCCATTTATACACGCGTGTAGCTAGTCAAAAATCATGGAGCCATCAAATACTTACAATTTTCATGTCCTCGTAGTATATATCAAGGGTAGGTAACCCTGGTGCAGCTGCCACCTCGTCTTTCCATGACTGCAGATAGGTGGAGTAGGGCCCAAACGGAACTAGGAAGTAAGAAAGGTAAAATTAAAGCAATGAGATGTAAGGGAATTCTTTCGAACTATATCTGGAGATTGTCGAAGCTCGATACTCAAATTCCAATACCTTAACCCAGGTTTGTGAGAATCGTACTGATAAGATCGTCTGTGCTGTGTCCTTCTTACTTGTATTACCGCGAAGTACTGACTAAGACCAACCACTCGCTGTACTTACTTTTCTCTGACATAAACGCCTCTGTAAACTCCGTGAAATCTCCTTCATAGTTATACGGTGCAACCATGTCTCTCAGGTGGTTGAAGTAGGACACACAGGTGTCTTTGGGATTCCGCATGATCTGGATACATTTGATCTTCTTCTCCACGACCTGTTTAGGGAGCATGCGCAGAGGGAGGTGGGTGTTGAAGATTCGTCTAGGTGGCACTGCCTCTATTCCATCTTTGTAAAGGAATTCTATCATCCGGGTCTCTTTGACATCCTTTTGATGCTGGAGAGTCCCACTATTTAGCATCTCTATGACTTCCCACAACCAGTGGGTTCCTAAAACAGTAAAGTCCAGGAAAGATATCCATAAAACAGGGTTAACAGGTTCTTGAAGTAAGAACATATATTCTGCCATATTCACCTTTGACATATCAAGAATCAGTCAACTTGATAGAAGTATTAAACATCTGTGCTATAACTGAGGCATACTGTGATATAACTGTGGTATATTGTAATATAACTGTGGCATACTGTGATATAACTTAGGCATATTGTGATATAACTGTGGCATACTGTGATATAACTGTGGCATACTGTGATATAACTGTGGTGTGTGTGATATAACTGTGGCATACTGTGATATAACTTAGACATATTGTGATATAACTGTGACTAACTATGATGTAACTAAAATATAACTAAAACATACTGTGCTATATACTAGCACACTTTGATATAACTGTGACATACTGTGATAGAACTGTTACATGATGTGATATAACTGTTGCATACTGTGATATAACTGTAACATACTATGATATAACTGTCACATGATGAGATATAACTGTGGCATGCTGTGACATAACTAAGGCATGCTGTGATATAACTGTGACATACTGTGATAGAACTGTGACATGCTGTGATATAACTGTGACATGCTGTGATATAACTGTTGCATACTGTGATAGAACTGTGGTATATTGTGATGTAACTAACACATACTGTGATAGAACTGTCTTATTTTGTGATATAACTGTGACATACTGTGATATAACTGTGACATAATTGATATAACTTAGTCATACTGTGATATAATTAAGACGTAATGTCATATAACTGTGACATACTGTTATATAACCTGTGACATATTGGGATATAACTGTGGCATACTGTCATATAACTAAGGGTATTGTGATATAACTGTGACATGTTGTGATGTAACTAAGACATATTGTGATGTAACCTAGACGTTCTGTGATAGAACTGTGGCATGCTGTGATATAACTGTGACATACTGTGATATAACTGTGACATACTGTGATACAACTGTGACATACTGTGATATAACTGTGACATACTGTGATATAACCGTGACATGTTGTGCTATAACTAAGACATATTGTGATGTAACTAAAACGTACCGTGATATTACTAAAATAAGCGACCAACATACCAAGGACCGAAGATAGTTGTTTATATCCGTCTCTTCGTTATACGAATGTCATAAGCGTATTTGTGTCTTGATATGACTATATGTGCCGTGATATTCTCGAAACGCATGATAATATAACTGAACTTCAAATGAGTCATGCTTTCAAATAACTGAGACATCTGGTGACATAACTGACGTGAAAGCATTCGCTCGTGATATATATCTGAGATATACGGTAATAAGATGAGATGTAACTGGCACAAGCTGTGATGTAACTGACACAAGCTGAGATGTAACTGACACTAGCCCCTCATGTAACTGACACAAGCTGTGATGTAAACTGACACAAGCTCTGATATAACTCACATTAGCCCTGATGTAACTGACACTGGCTGTGATGTAACTGAAACCAGCCCTTATGTAACTGACACAAGCCGTGATGCAACTGATACTAGCCTGGATGTAACTGACACAAGCTGTGATGTTACTGACACAAGCCTGATCCTGATGTAACTGACACAAGCTGTACTGACTAACTGGCACAAGCTGTGATGTAACTGGACACAAGCCCTGATGTAACTGACACCAGCTGTGATGTTCATGCGAGGGGTTTTATGCAGTATGGCATTACGTAACTGTGTGCATGGGGTTGTTAGTGCAACTGTGTGATGGTTCTTACAGTATATGTGCTGATTAGATGCATGCTATTTTGATATTATCATGGTTTTATTCTTGTGTTTATTATTGTGTCATAACCGGACACTGTACAGGGTTATTACGCCACACTGATGCAATAAAAAGATTCTTTCTTCTCTTGTAACAGATACATGCCGTTTTGATGCAACTGGATAAAAGTTTTTTAATGCACCAGATGCTATGATGCTGTGATACTACTGACACTAGCAAATTTTGATGTAACTGACACTATGATAACGCAACGACCCCATGATGTAACTGACACTCAACCGTGATGCTTGACATACACTTGGCAAGCGATGTAACTGACGCCTTAGCCGTGATGTAACTGGGACATGGAGATAACAGTGATGTAACTCCGAGATATACTGTGATGCCAACTGACACAAGCCGTGATGTAACTGAGATATAAGTTTGATATAACTGACTGAAGCCGTGATGTACCCAGTCCGAGATATGCTGTGATATAACTCACACTAGCCAGTCCAGAGTGTGGGACAGTTTGCACCTACCCGATGATGTGGAGTCTGTGGAATTGTACAGTTAAATAACCATATTCAGTCATTCACCTACCACATTTGGGATACGCACGAAGATAATGATGTCATCGTCTTCAGTTCGGCGTCTTTGATTACTGTTTTATTCTGTCTTCAGGACGAGCTCCCTTCAGCATTTGCGGAGGTGGCACAAGCAACATTACACCCCATCGGCATGTATGAAGCTATGGGAGTTGTGCGTAACTCTTCCATTCCCTGGAAAACACCGTTCGTGATCACTGGCTAATGTATGTGCCGCGCTATATAACATCCTTATTCGTATCTATCTTTTCCTTTCATCTCCCCTTCAGTTCCCCTGCCGAACAACATTCTGGACCATCGAAAGTTCTTACTTGTCACCCGGTCTGACTCTCAAATGGTGTTATTCGTGACTTCGGAAGGAAATAGACAATGTCAAGAACTCAAAGCGGATGAATCTTAATATCGAGGCTCTCGATATTTGAAATGATAGAGTAGAGGACAGGAAACAATGCCTGTCATATTGTTATAGCGTCTACTTAAAGATTCAGTTTCTAACTAACTTGCCGATGCTGGTTATCACGAACATTACTGACGATGATTCTTCTGTTCAAAACAAGGTAATATCGCAAGACCACGTGGCACCTCGTCAACAAACCATGTGTGTGTCGTGTGCACTGGTCATCTCACTCTTGACCTTATCAGGCCACAACACCAAGAGCATGTCGTTACACACACACACACACACACACACACACACACCCCTGAAGTGTTTGCCAAGGGGAGAGGAGGGTATGCGTTACGACCCAGCCGGGAGTTCACCTGGTGCACACGTCATTTTAGTCTGTCATAGAGACCCTGAAACAAATATATCCGAGAGAAGCCCATGCAAATCTAGAATATATGGCATGTCTAGATTTCCGCAGTTTCTGGAAATGAAGAAAGTCTCTGGGCTCCTTTTCAGTATATTTCATGATGATTATAATTTTGGAACTATTTCTTACACTTGACATATTGTAGACAGCATGCTTGAGAGACAGTATACTGCACTTGATATACTAAAGAGACTGCATGTGAGAGTATACTCACATACTGTACACTCCATGTGATATACAGCATATTGCACTTGATATACTGTAGACTTCATGTGATATACAGTATACTGCAAGTACATGATACATTGTAGACTGCATGTGATATATAACATATTGCACCTGACATATTGTAGACTGCATGTGATATACAGTATATTGCACTCCAATATACGTACGTAGACCTAAAACTGCTGGACTCTCTTAACACTCTCAGTCATAAACACGCGTGTATTCGAGTAAAATTGCTCAGGTAGATTCCAGATATACATAATCTTCATAAAGTACTTACATTACAAACTTTTCATCACTTTGACCTGAGGACAGGTTGAATGTGGCTCAGTTCAACAAATCTATTTATAACTTATGGGTCAAGTGAGGCGGCCAGCTTACAAGCGTCAATAATGCCGAATGTATACAAAGGGGTGGAATAACGGAGAAACCTTTTGAAAGACTTTTGAGGGATGTGCAAATAATTTACATCTGAAATAAG